CGCTGATTCTCTCTTCCCAAGTCTCTCCTGCCTGGGAGGAGCTGGTTGAAAGACATCCCGTCTGACCTAGGAACATCAAGTCCCCAGTTGCTAGAGGCCAGGGGAGGGTGTGCGGAAGGGTTTTGCATCTTCTGCTCTTTGCATCTGTAGTCGACGGTCAGAGACAGGCTCCCGGTTTACCATGTTCCAGTGCAGCGGTCTCCAGAGTGGGGTGCATGCAGCCCTGGGGGTGCGCAAGACGATGCACTGGGGTGTGGGAAGAAAACATTAGAACTTCAGTACTATACGTATATAATTATCAGTCACTAAATACACCTGGACTGGGGGTGCATCCTCAAAAATGTTTTACCAATAGGCGTGCGTGATGCAAACTGCTTGGAGGCCACTGTTCTAGCGGTTTCAACAAATCCCTTTCGTGTTCTTTCTTACATTCTGCTATAACGTCAGCCTCCAACTCGGCAGAGCCCTCATGTTCTCTCCGATTTCTTCACTACCAGGGCTTCCTTCCCCTCTTGCTCACCCCTGGCTTCCCCCCAGCAAATTAAAATTCTGCTGGCACTCCCAACTGCATTGGCCATTTTCCATTTCCCAGCCCACGCAAATGTGCGCCGTGCGCTTCCCACCATGACCCAGCTGTTGCTTCCTGTTCCAAAGGTGCCACGGAAGTGAGGGTGCCCGTGTGAAGGCTGCGCGCTTTTCGTTTGTGAAGTTCTTTGGCAGCTTCTGCTTTTCTGTTCTCTTTCTGACTCCGGGTGCTAAAGACAAAGCCTCCTGCTTCAGCGTAGCACAGAGAGAACTCCGGAGGATATTTCAGGAGCTGCTGTGAAGGCTTCTCAAGTTTCACACTCTTTTGGCTCTTGCTAATTCCCCTGTAGCTCATTGGCTGCTGCTACACTTCAAGAGAAGGGATTCAGACCTGGTGCCGTGACACTCAGTCCTCTTTCTCTCAGTTGCTTTTCCTGGGGATGCCGGTGATGACAAGATTGTGGGAGGCTGCAATTGCCTCGAGCATTCCGTTCCCTACCAGTGTCCTTGAATGCCGGGTATCACTTCTGTGGCGGTTCGTTCATCAACAGCCAGTGGGTCCTCTCAGCTGCTCACTGCTAGAAATCATACGTAGGGATTGGGTCGTGTATCTGGATTCCGGTCAAACCTTGCAAAGCCACCCGATTTGCAATATGGTGCTTAGCAAAAGAAGAGAATCCAAGGTGGCGATGCATGGTGTACCTGACACCAAAGGCGAAACACTGCCTTGTGTCTCACTGCGTTACATGATCTTTCCAATAGTCCTGCAGTCTTGGCATCCTTTTCTGTGCATCCTAACATGCCTTTCTGTGCATACTTGCACGCCCACGTGGCTTACCGTTACTATTCCCTTCTTTTTCATTCCTCCAGACTTTCTCCATGGATCTTCCTTGTCCTGAATTTCGGGCATACCTCTGCAGAGAGAGCACAGATCAAGGATCATGCTCCTCTGCAATAGGAAATGTAACCTTCTTTCCCTAAGCATTGCTCGAGGTGTCTGAGGTGATCCATCTATGCTCGCACCATTGCCACGGTTGCCAGCGGGGGATCCGTCGGACAGGACGCCAACTAGCAAGACTCTCCAGACTCTGTCTTTCATAAAATCGGGAAGCTCCTAGAGCTCTGTGACACATACACTTTTCATTAGGCCAACGCTCCCTGACTCTCTTCCGAGGGTCTGCCAGGCCCCGTGTGGCACCAAGCTGTTCTACCCATGGTTAACTGCTGCTCTTCCCTGCTGGTAATTTTGCAGCCATACGCAAGTATGGCAGGATGGGAGAGCGCAACATTACGTGAAGGAAGACAGTGAACTAGTCAGGCGTGCCGCGTTAATCATTCACCATCCTAGATACGATTCAAGAAGCCTTGATACCGGCGTTGTGTTGATCAAGCTGGCCACCACCATGGACTGCAGTGCTGACATTCAACCCACAGCTCTGCCCAGCTCCTGTGCCAAGGAGGGTCCCGAGTGCCTTTTTCAAGGTGAGGAAACACACTGAGCAGTGGCTGTGAGTATCAGTGCATGTTGCAGGTACCTGGTCACACTTCTCCGGCTTCAGCGCCACGTTCATGACTTCCGTGTACATTTCACTCCTGCTTTGCAGCCTTTCCATGTTCTGCCTGTGAGTTCCCCAAACTGCCCTGCCAGTGTGCCTCAGTCAACAATGCCCTTCGCATTTGCTCATGCACGTCAAGGGTTGCCCTGCTTTGCTGGATGGCTCTCGCATATAGGTCTACAGGTCTTTCTGTTCGCTGACAGTGCTGAGTCCCAAGAGGAAACCTAATTTTCCCTGCTGCCCCGGCAGCCAGTTTCCCTCAGGTTCTCCGGTGACTGAGAGCTCCAGTTCTGAGTAACCAAAAGTGCCAGGAGGCTCACCCAGGCCAGATCACTAGCAACGCGATGTGTGTAGGATTCCTGGATGGTGGGAAAGACTCCTGCCGGGTAAGCACTGATGTCTGCACAGAGCCCTGGGTCACACACCGCAGGGTGCCTCAGGCTGCACAGTGTAAGAAGTCAGAGCTTGGCAGAGTGTGCGTAGGCTTCCTCCTCTCCAGGTTTTCTGTTGTGACACAGTACCCTTCCAGCAGAGTTTTGATAGAGAGCGGACTTCAGCCAAACTAGCAGGTCCAGCCACATCTGCTGGGCACTGACTGCAGTAACAGTGAACTGTTGGGGGTAGGGGAGGTCAGCAAAGAAGGGGTGCTGTCTTTCTCTGCTCCCATGCCTCTGCCAGGGTGTTTCCCACGACCCAGAGAGGGATAGTCAGGGCTGCCAAAGTCCTGCAAGACAGTTTGGAGAGGTACCCAAGCTCATCCCTTCATTTGCTGGAGCATAGAGGGCGTCCTGGGAGGAGCTCAGTCCTTTCTGAGCAGGATGGGAAGGGTCAGGTCAGGGCTGACCTGTCAAAGACGTCTGTTAGAAGGTGGCTTTATCGGACAGTGCTGCTGTGTTGTTCTTGTGCAGGCTGAGATGGGAAGCGAGGGTGGGGCTTTAATCATGGGAACATTGGCCCTAATGGTCCCTAGTTCTGGAAGGGGCTTGCTTGGGAAGCCAAATACCTAGCTTTCCTAGGCAACATAAAGACTCCTCAGAGCACCTCGTTCCAGATGGCTCCTCTTGCGTTCAGGGACGAGGATCTCCCAGAAAGGATGCTCAGGTAGAGATCCCCTCTGCCTGCCTTCCCCTATAGCTGGTTCCTGTGTTGCTTGGATAAATCTTTAAATCTGATCCAGAGAGTAACTTACGGTGATGCACATTCCCTTCTCCAGCCTTTGAGTGAAATTTCCCTGCGTCCTGGAAATTCTCCAGTTGCCTTGGTAGATTTTTTTTTTCCTGCCCTCCTCTTTCTTCCTTGTCCAACACCCAGAACCCGGGCATCTAGAGAGGAGTGTGGCCAAGGGAGGCTGTGGCGCCTAAGATCCAGCATCCGGTTTTGGTGGAGAAGGGACTGGGAAACAAGGAGAGGGAGGGGGAGAGGGAAGGAGAGAGGGAGAGGCTTTGGGGTGGTTGAGGTGGGTCATTGTAGCCCAGAGGGTCCAAGAAGATCCAGGATCAACTCAGGAGACACCAGAGCTCAGTTATTCCGAGTGACGGAGCAAGGGGCAGCAGGCAAAACTCAGATGCC